TTTTAAATTTCCTTGTCTGGTCTGCTGACGACTGATGGTTCACGGCTGCGCTCCCCGGGTTGCCGTCTTATGATTGGCGTAGAACAGGATACTCGTGATTGACGCAGCTTGCGACCATGGCGTCGACCTCGGACCTCGACGCTCAAATTGAGCAGATTCGCTCGGGCAAACAGCTCGACGAGCAACAAATCAAGCTGCTGTGCGAAAAGGCCAAGGAAATTTTGTCGCAGGAGAGCAACGTTCGTGAGGTGTCCTGCCCCGTCACCGTGTGCGGTGACGTGCACGGCCAGTTTTATGACCTTCTCGAGCTCTTTCGCATCGGTGGAGAGGTGCCCCACACCAACTACCTCTTTATGGGCGATTATGTGGACCGCGGCTACTTTAGCGTTGAAGCCGTCACCCTGCTCGTTGCGCTCAAGGTCTGATTCGCAGTGTCGAGTTTGGAGCCCATACTTGATGTGCAGTGTGTGTGCGTGCGTGCGAGGGAGCATGCGCGGGCAGTTCATGCAAGAGATCGGTCGACACCTCGCCACAACGACTGCTCACAGGGTGGACCTTGTTCTGTGCTGCCTCGCTCAGGTCCGTTACCCCGAGCGGATATCAATTCTGCGTGGCAACCACGAAAGCCGTCAGATCACCCAGGTAGGCGGAAACACCACAGTTGCAACCATGAAAAGCATGGCAGTCACGGGCCCTCTCCTGTCCAAGCTGACTGAGACAGTCGGGATCAGCCGCACGAGCCGCGGGTCCACCCCTTGATGTGCAACAAACACTTGATCAAGGCATTGTGAAGTCACAGTGAAATCAACATTTTCAAGGCCAGCTCTGATGGATGGCTTGTGGATGGTGCGGTTCGGCATTCATCCTAGGTGTACGGATTTTACGATGAGTGCCTGCGCAAGTATGCCAGCCCTGCAGTCTGGACTTACTTTACGGATCTCTTTGACTTTTTGCCGCTGACGGGTCTCGTCGAGCGCCAGGTGTGCATGCGGCATCGCGTCAAATCAACAAGCCAACGCAGCCCAATGACAGTTGGCTGTCTCTGCGTCATGATGGGCCCACGTGACTGGTTGTGACCAATGTTGGACCTGAATAGATTTTCTGCTTGCACGGTGGCCTGTCCCCGCAAGCGACCACGCTGGACGCCATCCGGGATATGGATCGCTTCCAGGAGGTCCCCCACGAGGTGAGCACCAACCATGCCACGGGACCATGTGACGACACTGGCTGCACAAGACGGGGTGCAGTGTGGCATGGCGGTTGCACCCACGAACCGTGAACAGCGTTGCTGAACTCGGCGTCTCGAGCCCCGCTTTGGTGTTGTCGGCCTCAACCGCCGCTCACGCGTGTCTGTACCGACTTGCAACAGGGTCCCATGTGCGATCTCTTGTGGTCCGACCCCGACGATCGAGCGGGTTGGAACGTGTCGCCGCGCGGTGCAGGCTTCAACTTTGGCAAGACAGTGTCTGAGGAATTCAACCGCACCAATGGTCTTCGCATTATTGCCCGGGCTCACCAGTTGGTGATGGAGGGCTTCAACTGGTCGCATGATCGCAATGTCGTCACCATCTTCAGCGCGCCAAACTACTGCTACCGTTGTGGTACGCCTGTTAGCCTCGCTCGCTTCTGTCGGACCACCCTGATGGCCTGCCAGCGGCCTCATTGCAGTTAACTTTTGCGCTGTACACAGGCAACCAGGGTGGCATTATGGAGCTGGACGATACCCTCAACTATAGCTTTCTCCAGGTACCATCAGCCTTGTCTGCGTCCCTCGCTCGCCCAGCATCATGGTTCTTCTACAAGGGCATCTTTGAGCTCATGAACGTGGGATGGTGTGTGCGTGCTTCCCTGTTTACAGTACGATCCAGCACCGCGACCCCAGGGCTTCCACAAGCAGCCCCGCGCACCAGACTACTTTTTGTAATCAGACCTGTGTTATTTTGTGCCTTTTTTTTTTCCCGTTGTTCCTCTCTCGTTGCTTTGTGTTTACGCTTCCCTTGCTGTTGTTACTTGCACTGTGATCCCATCTGCACCCACGTCCCTGTCCTGCGGAGCTCCAGGCCTGAACATGTGTTCCTTTCTTCTTTTCCTTCCTTTGGCTATGTCGTGTGGTCCATTGGCAAAAATTGGTTTGTGATTGAGTCACTTCTCTGACCAGTGTTTGCCCTTGTGATGCCCTCTGTGGCTGCCTGGATCGATTGCTTTCGTCCTCTGGCTTTCGGTCTGCCTTTTCTGTATTTGTTTCTACTCCTTTGATGTTTTCGTTGTGTGCCGTGCTCATGTGGCCCCTTGCCCTCCGACCTTGCTGTCCATGCATTCTTTGCGCATTGGCACACACGCCTTTGGCCCTTATCCCGCCTAACAACAACCTTCTTAATTGGACAGCCGTTTAGCTCATGGCAAGGAGCCGTTCCGGATGTAAGAAAAAATCATCACAGTTGCCAGTCGTCATTACCAAATGTCACAAAGAGGCGCTGTTGAAGAAGGCTGACATTGTCCCAAAAATGTTCCTTCAAACACTCCTGACAGTTGCCACTGTGGAAAAAAGCCTCGCATTCGAGACTTGAACCCTTCCGGCAGACGCTTGCCCCCCAAATGACAATCCTCTTACAAGCCCCCTACTCTTTTGACCCACTTTGACTCCTTCGGCCCCCCTTTTGGCTTACCATCAGGTGAAACGGTTGCGCTCCAAGCGAGTGTCTTCAAGTCAGCAGTCGAAGAAGAAAGAGAACAAGATCACGCTCTTTCTAACATGGTAAGGCCTTATGCACATGATGCGCTTTCCTTGCTGATCCTGTTTTGTTTTGTTTTTTTTTCTCGACGTTACCCGTCACACACAGAAACACCACCGCCACCTTGCGCCCCTCTATCGCACCACACTCACATACCTTGGCAAGCACCCCAAGACGTCCAGCTGCCTCTCTCTTCCCATCGCCGCTTTTGTTTGGAGGTGTCGTGGACTGGGGTGGTGTGCACTTTCCCACTGTGAGCTGGGGCAGAGTTGAACGTTGAAGAAACCTGCACCATGCTGCGCTTGGCTTTGCTCGCCGCTCTGGCCGCCGTTGCCTTGGGTCAGTAGTAGTGTCTTTCGCCCCTTCGTCTCCGGCGTTGGTTTTGGTAGAGTGACGGGCTTGTGACTGCCGCCGTGCCCCACCGCGCGCGTGGTGTTTCTTGTCGCCTGTTGGCTGTGGTTTTCTTCTCGACGTGTCCCCCTTTTTTCCCCTTGTTCTGCTGCCGGCTCCGGCCCGATAGCCGTCCTGTGTCTGCGGGGGATTTTGTGCTGTTTGGCAACCGCGATCTAAATTCCCCTTTCTGTGTTGTGCGCATGGCTACATCTCTTTTTCTCACCATACGATCGCCTGCCCTTCCAACATGCTATCATCTCAGGCCGTGAGAAGATTGTGATTTCCCAGACATCGTTTACCATTGACAAGGATTCCAACGCCACGGTCAACTTGCGTCTGGTCGAGCCCATCATCTGTCCCCCCGACCATGAGGGTTCTTGCACCGTTGCCGTTCAATTCACCAACCCCGACACCAACCGTTTCTCCGTGAGCCCTTGTGTTGTCGAATGGACCCAAGACGAGTGGAACGAGGTCAAGCTTGTTCGAAGTAAGCACACTTCTCTTGGTGTACACGGTGCCCAGTCAATACCACCAGGGAAAGCCCATGCATGTGTGTACAAAACCAACTGACACGCTTCAATCGCCTTCCCCTGTGCTTCCTTTTTTCTCGCGTGTTGTCTCCTAGTTTGGGCTCTTGAGAACTTTGTTGATGAGCCTGGAATTAGTGAGACGTTCAAGACCGAGCCTGCCGTCTCCAACTCTGTCTTTTACAGCGGCTTTGACGCTCGTGATGTGACTGTCACCACCCGTGCCCGCCCCTCGGGCCACTGCTCCGGCACCGGTAAGCAATGTCACTCCTCACCAAACAACCGACTCTAGGGTTGCTCGGATGCTGCTATCGATCATCGTGCCCTTGCTCATCGAATCGCTTGCCCGCCCGTGCGAACAGGCGATCCTCATTACACCACCTTTGACGGCAAGTACTGGCACATTTACGATGCTGGACGCTACGTCTTTTACGCCAACCGCAACCCAGCCGCGCCTCGTCAAGATTTCGAGGTCCAGGTTGCCACTCTGAGCTACCCTGCCCGTCACTGCGGTTTCGCCGCTCGGGAGGGTAACGACATCTTCTATGTGTACGCCTGCTCTGGCCGAATCACCTACGACCTCATTTGCGGTTCCAAGGAATGCCAAGATGGTCCCTACCCCAAGGTTGGCACTAACGGCGGCCGCTCGGGCACCTACTCGGTCACCTTCAAGTCGGGCCGTCGCGTTTGGGCCACCGTCTCTGGTCGCTACGCGAACATGTACGCCACCGCCCCCGGTCGCGACTACCAGTCTGGTACTGTCGGTGTTTGCGGTAACTTCAACGGCAACTCGGGTGATGATGCTCCCATGTACAAGGTGACCTCAAACTACAAGGCCAACCTTTTCCCCTCTCAAGTGCCCACCACCAACCTCTTCAACTGGCGCCCCTCATCCATCTGGGATTATGAAGAGGGACCCTCTGTCGAGACTTGTGCCTACACCCCCACTGAATTTGTTCGCCCTCTGCTCTCCAGCCCCGATGTGGAGGACGTGACCGATCTCCTCAAGAACGTTCGCGTCGTTGATGACAGCGATGTTAACTTTGACCTGGATCTCGATGACTTTGTCTCCGCCAATGAGACCATGGATGAAACTACCGCTCGCCAACTCTGCCAGGCTGCCTTTGACGCCAGCCCCGCTGTCACTGCTTGTGACAACCTCCTTGGTTCCCTCCTCAATGTCCCCGTCTTTGTCGACGGCTGCGTCGAGGATCTTTCCATGACCGCTGATGAGACATTTATCGATGACGCTATCGACCAAATGTCCGCCCGTTGCGCCAACCTTGCCGAGTCTAACACTTCCACCTGGGAGACGGACAACAACGGCGACCGTGTTCCCAGCTCCGACGTGGCCAATGCTCTGTGCCCCAACAGCTGCAGCGGGCATGGTGCTTGCAACAACGCCAAGTGCGTCTGTGACTCTGGCTTCTCTGGCCGCGACTGCTCGGTCGACAAGTCGTCCGCACCCGTCATCACCTCGCTCTCCACCACGACCTGCAACACCAAGGCGGCCGCGTCCTGCGCCTCGGAGATTTCTGTCTTCGGCAGCAACTTTTGGAACGCCGAAAACCTCACCTGCCGCTACAAGGTGATTGCGAGCCCCGCAGTTGCGTCCGACAACGTGCTCATGGTCGGCCAGTCCGCCTCGCGCAGCGCTTTCTTCCTCGGCTCGAGTGAAGTGATTTGCCAGCTTCCTCCTCGCTCCACTCTCGTGCCCGTTGGCCTCCAGGGTGACCTCGTGACCATTGAGATCTCCGTGCGCACCACCGACTCGATCGTCAGCGAAGCCAGTCTTCCCTTCACGTTCTACGACGGCGTGTGCTCCGCCTGTGCCAATGCCACGACTTGCGCTCCGAATCCCGACTCGTGCAACATTGATGGCGTCTGCGTCTTGGAGGGTACCCACGAAGCCAGCAACGTCTGCCGTGTTTGCGTGCCCGAGCAAAGCACCACCAGCTGGTCATACGACTACACCCATGCCGCCGATTGTGGTCCCGACTTTAAGCAAGACTCGTATTCAACGACTCTCACTGGCTCGTACGAGGCTGGTGACACCATCTTCACGTTTGATGCGGACAACGCCAACCTGCAGGATGATCCCAACTACAACCTCGAGTTCACCATGACCGCCGGTAACGAAACCATCTTCAGCGTGACCACCGATGGTCGTGTCGTGGCCAACACTGCCTTTGCTGTCAATGATCTTCCCTACGAGTTCCAGAACCTCGTTGGTGTGCAAGCCGTCCTGAACGGCCAGCATCCCACGGCTCGCACTGTCGTCTTTGACATTGTCTCTTCTAACCGCGCCCCCATCCTGAACGAAACCTACACCTTCAACGTGACTGAGGATACCCCCGTCGGTACCGTCATCGGCACCATTGTGGCCCACGACCCCGATGAGGCTGGCTCCCTCCAGTACGAGTGGTACTCGCAGGTCTCGGGTGAGGCTGGCGTGCTCCTCATTGACGAGTCGACCGGTGTCATCACTGTTGGCCAGTCTTTGGATTACGAGCGTGTTAGCTCTTACCTCCTCCTCGTCAGCGTGCGTGACGGTGGTCTGCAGCACATGGCCTCGGTCCACATTTTTGTCGGTGACGTGAACGAAGCTCCCACTGACGTGCTCATCTCTAACAATGTCGTTGCCGAGAACCAGCCCATCGGCACTGTCGTGGCCAATCTGACTGCCGAGGATCAGGATGCCGGTGACTCCCACACCTTTTCCGTCAGTGGTACCGATGCCGCTTACTTCCAGGTGGTTGGCGCGACCCTTCAGACGGCCCAGGAGCTTGACTACGAAGCTCTGCTTGCGGCTGGCAAGAACCCTCTGGCCATCACGATCACCGCCACCGATGCCGGGGGTCTCACTTTGACCAAGGCCTTTGACATCACCGTCCAGGACGTCAACGAGGCCCCTTACAACATTCAGCTGTCTCAGACCGAGTTTTTGGAGAACCTCACCAACGCTGCCCTGGCCACCGTGACCGTTCAGGACCAGGATGCCGACCAAACTGTCACCTGCACCATTGTTCAGGAGAGCACTCCCACCTTTGAGCTGCTCGACATGAAGCTTTACGCCCTGCCCGGCCAGCAGCTCGACCACGAGACCAACCCCTCCATCGAGCTGACCATTGGCTGTGCTGATGACGGCACTCCCATGAAGTATGCCACGGCTACCTTCACCATCACCGTCCTCGATGCCTTTGACATGCCCGGCCATTTCACCATTGAGCAGCCTGAGACCATCTTTGAGAATGCGACCATCGGTACGGTCGTTGGTACCGTCGTGGCCGTTGACCAGGATGATGACTCGACCGACTTTGAGCTCTCGGTTGTGTCCGACTATGTCGAAGCTGCCGGCCCCACCTCATGCACCAAGGCCGACGCCGCGGCCCCGACCATCTGCCGCCTGGACATTCGTTTGACTTCGCTGCTCGACTATGAGGGCACCGAGGTTGCCGGTCGCCAGGCTTTGAGCGTCATTGCCACCCTGGTCCACAAGGGCGAGACAGTTCAGTCTGAGGGCACCGTCTACCTCGAGTTTGAGGACCTGAACGAGCTGCCCACGGGCGTCAGCTGGCGCACGGGTGGCACCGTTGAGGAGAACCTCGCTTTGGGCGGTGTCATTGGCACCATCAGCGCCCAAGATCCTGACCAAGGCCAGACGCACACCTTCAGCCTGGCGTCGCACCAGGACCGCTTCACGCTCTCCAACGACGCGTCGGGCATGTATGCCACCATTCGCCTTTCCCAGACAGCCGCCTCTCCCCTCAACTACGATTCAGAGCCCTCCATTGAGCTCTCCGTTGTGGTTTTGGACAGCGGCAACCCCCCGCGCTCCATTACCACCTCAATCACCATCACGGTTGAGAACCAGCCCGTCACCGTCATGTTCCAGGGCACCAATGGCCCCTCGGATTCGTTGACCGTCTCAGAGAGCACTTCCGTTGGTACCGTCGTTGGTAAGTTTGTGCTCGAGGGCAACGATAATCAGGCCGCCACTTACACGGTTCAGTTCGCCGATGACGATCGTCGCCGCGCTTCCGAGATCTTCTCCATCCAGGGTCTGAACCTGGTGCTGAGCTCGCCTCTTGATGCCGAGGAGGTGCAGACGCAGTCGCTTAACGTTGTTGCCGTCGAGACGATTGGTTCCGAGGTCAACTACTACGCGGCGCAGCAGCTGATCATTAACGTCCAGAACGAGGATGAGGCACCCGTGTTTGGCTCGAGCTCCTACACTGCTACCGTCGACACCACAACGGCCAGCGCTGGTGATTTGGTTGATGTGTCGCCGGTCCTTGTGGCTTCAGACCCCGAGGGTGCTGCCCTTACCTTCTCCATGGCTTCCTCCTCGAGCCAAGTGATGCAAACCTACTTCCAGGTCTCCACCACAACCAGCGGTACCTTTGAGCTCAGCGTCACTCAGAACCTGGTCGATGCCGACATTGCCGCAGATACTTATAACTTGGACGTGCAGGCCGAGGATGCCACGGGCCACATCAGCACCCAGCGCGTAGTTGTTACCCTCACCGATGGCACCACCGATCCCAGTGGCGCTCAGTCCACGGCTGCCTCCAACAAGATGGGCACTGGTGCCGTTGCCGGCATTGTGATTGGCCTTCTTGTCCTCCTCGTCCTGATTGCCTTCCTGGTGCTGGTCGTCCTTCGCAAGCGCCAGAACGACAGCGTCTTTGTTGACTCGGAAAAGGGCAAGGGCAGCCACTACGACAACCCTTCGTTCGGCACCACCTATGCTACTCCCGGCAGTCTGCCCGTGGGCTTTGTGCCTGGCGTCAGCAACCCTCTGTACGAGTGGTATCAGCCCGAGATGACTCGTCAGGACTGCTCCTCGGAGCTTGCCACTGCCGCTCCCGGCACTTTCTTGGTGCGTGACAGCAAGGCTACTCCCGGATGGCACATTCTTGGCGTCAAGACTGAGAACGATGTGCTGCATGAGAAGATTCGCGCCACGGATGATGGCATGTATCAGCTGTTGCCCTCTTCGGGCCCAGCGCACGAGCAGCCCCGCTTTGGCGACCTGCCCTCGCTTATTAACCACTACGGCTCACGTCAGACTGGCATGCACTATGCTCTCAACGTCAACAGCGTCAGCAACCCCATGTATGCCATGTCCGCCCAGTCGGACGGCCTGTATGGCGGTGTGGCGCTGCCCAACGATCGCTATGCCCCTGCAGTGCCTCTGAAGGAGGCCCACGTGGCCCAGGTTGAGCAGCTGGCTGCTACGGACGACATCTACTCCAACACGCGCGATGCCCAGAACGCGCTGAGCCATGCCTAAGTTTGGTTCTGAAACCAGGCTCATCTGGTAATTGTTGTGCTTTATTGTTGCTCGTTTTTGTTTGATCGCATTTTTCTTCCTTCATCATGTGGACACTACGCGATACTCAAGCCTCTGATATCGAACTCTGTCTCCTACGCACACGTTGACCCGCGTCTTCGTTGAGAGCTTAGGCTTGAGCTTGTGTCCACAATTGTGCTCGTGTCATGCCATGCCACGACTGTTTGAAGGCGAATTTTCTTTTCCTGTTTAACGTGGTCGCTTCACATGGGTTGCGGTTATAACCTTCGTCCCATTATCTGAAACCGGTCGTCGTCATTCCGAGTCCATTTGTTCTTTTCTTTTCGTGTGTTTGTCCCGATGTTGTCTGCTTCTCTTCGCTGGCTATTCGAAGAAGTGGCGCACCACTGCCTCTTTTATGCAGCGGACCTTGTTGCGCTTGCATCCTGTCGGGTACAACGTATTTTAGTTAACGAATTTTTTTTCTTTTAATTTTCTTTCAAGGGCGGCTTGTGCGCCGACTCCCACCGGCTCCTGCACCTTCATCAACGCGTCACGTGTCACCCATCTCCGTTATCTGACGGGTGGGTGTTCCGGATCCGCTTTTGTTCGTGCAAGGACAAGCACTTCACTCGTGCATGCTGTGCGTGTGGCCGTTAGCGAAGAGTTGTGTTTCTTTGCTTTTCGGTATTTTTCTCGAGTGACATACTTGGCTCAACTCGTTTTCGCGTGGTCTTCATTGCTTGAAGATTATCACACGAAGAAGGGTGGCCTATGTCGGGTGGTTGTTGGTTCTTAACCGCCTCAAACCCTTTTGTGCCGTGATGGATTTTTGTATTTCTTTTGTCAACCGTCGTTTTGTTCACACTGTTTCAAACGACTTGTTCTCCGTGCTGGCCTTTTACAATTGATAAAAAAAAGCCAATGATATTTGAGATAACAACATATGACGTAGACTCAGGGCTATTTGCAACCAAAAAAAAATGATGAGAACCAATAATAATACCGTGTCGTCATGTGGACATGTATCGGGAGAGTTGTTCAACGAAAACATGAGAGAAAACAACAGCGTTTTAGGGCCGCATGGGGCGCTTGGTGCCAGCTGGGACTGGGTCACGGGCGGTCATGGACTCTTCTACGTAGGTGAGCCGCTCCTCGAGGATCGAGACGGTCTGCGTCAGCACGTCCAGCTGGGAGACAATGTGTTCCAAGGTGGACGTAAGCGAGTAAGGAAGATCGGTTGGTTGTAGCGCCTCGCGTTGGGGAATCTACGGCCGCCAGGGATGCATGAGTGTTGTGCCGACACAATACAGACACCTTCTCACACGAGGAGGTTGGATTCACGCGCGGAGGGCGACCTGTCGCGGATTCAATCGTACTTCTGGCGGAACGCGCTGCGTCCCGGGTGTAGAAAATGGCACAGGCCCCACGTCAACAATGGGCGGCTGAGTCTGTGGAGCCAGGCGGGTCGCAGCCGGTGCAACTGGCCGTGGGCTGGGAGCAGAAACAGCAGTTGGGGGCTGTGGAGTTGCGGCACCCCGAGATGGTGCGTGGCGCGTATCCTCGCGGGGATTTGCCATTGGTGCGGGCCTCAAACTGGCAGCTGGAGGGGGTGGCCGCTTGTTCAGATGAGCGGCCTGGCCAATGGCAGAACGAGCGCCTTGGGGACGGTCGTGGGGCTCATCAAGGAGAAGCTCGCTCAAGTATTTATCGAAGCGGGTCTGCCAAACCAGAACCTTGTTGTCGGCACCACCAGAAGCGAACATGGAGCCGTCGGGACTAAAGGCAGCGGCTGTGGCCGCGTCTTGGTGCCCGTGCAAAGTATAGAAGAGGTGCCCTTCCCGCAGGTCCAGGATCTGATTGAGAAGGGCAGATTTTGGAGCATCATAAGCTGTGGCGTGCGGACAAGAGACCACAGGCGCCGAAGACCGGTTGGGACCGTGATAGCTGGCAGCAAAAGGACTCATGTCCTCGTGGGTAGGTTTGGCGTGAGGGCGTTACCTTGAGGGTAGAATCTGTAGAAGCGGTGAGCAAGAAATCCCCACTGGCATGAAAGCTGATGTCGTTCACGGCATCGTCATGGACTTGATAGTGTTGCAACAGCTTGTTTGTTCGGATGTCCCAAATCTGCCGTCGCAATCGAGGTGGGGCTTCAGCCATGAATGCGGGGTACCTGCAAGAGTGGTTGCAGGTTGTATTGATTGCCACGACTCACCTTGACCGTGCTGTCCGAGCAGCCGGCCGCCACGCAGGTGCCATCTGGGTGAAAAGCAACGCTCGTGATCATGCCATCGGGCTCGAAAAAGGTCTGTGCACAGGTCTTGCTGGCTAGATCCCAGATTTTCACTGTTTTGTCATCCGACCCTGAGGCTACTAGCCGTCCATCAGGCGACGGCGACACGGAGCGCACCCAGTTGGTGTGGCCTGTGTGTGCCAAACAGTCAAATCCGAGCAGGCCATCAAGACGCGTGAATGTTTTTCTTCATACACATGCACAACGCTGATGTCAAGGCGGGTGGTGGTGCATGTTGTTGGGGCTGATGGTACCTTTCAGAGAGAGACGAAACTTTTGTCTGTAGGTGCTGAAGATTTTGATGGATTTGTCGTCGCTGCTCGTGGCGAGGAAGGAGCCATCTTGACTGAAGCGCACGCACCGGACAGTGCCGGTATGGGCTTTGAAAACGGTCGACTCGCCCTAAGGAGAAGCGAGTCAAACATGAGATTGAGCAACGACAGGTAGTCAGCAAAACGTGACGAGAGTTACGGCGCGCTCCATCTCCAACCGCCACACGAACCTTGACCGAAGGTACCCAAAGACGCACAGTACAGTCGCGCGATCCCGAGGCCACCAAGCGGCCCGATGGCGAAAACTGAACCGACTGAACCCCATCCTTGTGGCCTACTAGACGGAAAGCACGCATCTGCACGGGGCAAGGGGGGGGAGGGGGGTGCGCAGACTGAGCACCAAGCCAAGGGTGGCGACAACAGATGGTGGTTGGCCATCGGGCACAAACGGCTTTGGCAGCCAAAACCACGGAATGGTCTAGCCCATCTATGTCGGTCCATCAACGCACCGATTGTTTTCGATTCCAGACCATGACGGCACCATCGAGGCCGCCCGACGCAACTTGAGTCAGGTTTGGGTTGAAGCTGACAGAAGTCACCTGCCCCTTGTGGCCTGCATAATGGCATTCAAGCAAGGGGTCTTCCATATTGGCGGCTTGCAGCGCGACTGCTCCTCCTCCTCAGATCCGCGTTTCTTCGAATCGCTGTTCGGTACCGCGGTCGTGCCCCGACGACGTGTTCGAATCCCGCTCACCCAAGCCAGACTCAACCGCCACCACTCGAAAATCTCTCTCTCTCTCTCTCTCTCTCTCTCTCTCTCTCTCTCTCTCTCTCTCTCTCTCTCTCTCTCTCTCTCTCTCTCTCTCTCTCTCTCTCTCTCTCTCTCTCTCGCGCTTGAGAATTTGAAAATTTCAAAATGACCACAACAACAGTTTTGAACCAACCGCCTCAACAACAGCAACAGCAACAGCAACAGCAACAGCAACAGCAACAGCAACAGCAAAACTACGGACAACATCAAAAGGCGCCAGAAGTCGTGTCGGACCTCGGCAACGGCTGCCGCAGGCTTTGGACGCGGTGTTTCTCTGGATAGGATCAGACAAGGGTATCACCACAGCGTCATAGGGTCATTTGGTGCATCCTCCTTTTGAGGTTTCCCAGATGAGCTTTTTCTTTTTTTTCTTTTGGCTCTTCGCGATTAGTTTGGTTGCGACATCATCCCTGGTCCTCCGCGACAAAGCGGAGGTAGCAGAGAGCGAGTTTCTCGTGTTCTCCTTGCACGGGCTTTTGTGGGCAGTGTGAGCCAGACCCTTGACCCGTCGACTGGCTGAAACTTGAGATATGGCAGCGAAAGCTGAACAGCAGGTCGACCTGGTCGTACGCCAATCGGTCTTCGATGATGGCATCCTTCCGCTCTCCCAAGCTCAGGCGTTGACCGTCGCGGTAAGCCATATCCCTGCCCATTCTTACCCAATTGGCAACATATGATTTGGGTCCTCGTCGCGATCCATCGTCCTTTGCGACCCTGCTGTGCCACCTTGTAGCCTGCTGCCCGCCCTCTCCTTCCCCCCTCACTCGGTGTGGTCTTTCTGCACTCTCATGTCGCTTTATAGAACCTGCGCGTCTTGGCATTACAAGCCAAAGCCCCCAAGACCCAGAATGGGCCAAACGGACAGCCTTTGCGTGTTTCCATGGCCGAGCGAAAGCTCAGGTTTGTTGATGCACGCGTTTTGGTGCACCTAAATGACCACACCAACGCAAGCGTCCTGAGCTCGTCTCTTCAAGGTGCTCGCTCTCACATCGATCAACCCCGGCCGTGTTCTTCCCCAGCTTTGCTCGCTTCGCCTCATGGGCGTCTCGGGAGGACATTCTCAATTTGACCGAAGCGCACAGCTGGGCGTGAGTTGCCTCGCTGCTCACCTGCCACCGAATGCCGCCGCGCGTGACGCAACCACATCCTGATGGGGTTTCAAACTTTGCTTCCTGCCGATGCACCCGGATACATGCCAGGCTCTTTGAGACATTTGACGCAATCAACTGTATGATTCGCAATCAGAACGATCGTCGTGCCGCTTTTGTGGAGAAGACAGCCTCTCTTTCCGACGATGACCCCGGTCTCTGTGCGTTGACTATATGGCGTCACGTCCAATGTGGTTCTGCTGGCCCATCGTCCCCTGCTCCCCCGCTGGTGGGGCTCATGACATGCTGAGGGGTCCAAACTAACGCGTAGGGACAATGCGACGTCGAGCCGTGGTTCCCATCCTCCCGTTTTTGATCTATCTCTTTGTTCAAGTATGAATGCCTGCTTCGTGGCCCGTGTCAGCTCGTGCCTGCATGCGCTTTTGCTTATGCCAGCTCTCCCGCCACAACAGCAATTCGGCGGAGGCATCTTCAACCCAATGGCCGAAACGCCGCGCAAGCGTTTGACCCAGGATCAACGCCAATCTTGTACGTGCGCCTTTGGCATACTTTTTGGAGCACATTTTCTAATACACACGTCGCCCTGCGATGGCTACACCCGACGGCACTCACCGTTCTTGGCATGGTGCCCAGATCACGAAACACAAATGCAGGAACAATCACGACGTCGTCTTTTTGTTTGGCAACACATGCTTGATTTGGTCCATCTCTGTGTCCCACAAGGTTAGTACCGAGAGCCACCAGTCATGCGGCCAGGCTCGCGGGCCTCACGCCCTCTCTGGTGCATGACCTTTTGCTAGATGAGTATGGTGTCAACGTTGAGGATGAGGCATTGATTGTGCCGCTTGACTGTGCCACTGCCCTGGCGTGGTTGCTCAAGATGCGCATGCATGAAGAGAACGTGTCACTGAACGCCTTGGTGCGGCAGCCTGAAGTGGGCGCCGAAGTGGGTTACTCCAAGCTGCAGCAAAGCCTCAACGCCAAGCGCCTGGCCACTTGGCTTCGAGGCCACCTTCATCTGCCGCGCACGCTAGAGAACCAAGTCGGGGAGGAGCCCATGCCTTTTTTGGCACCCCGGGGCATTCCTGCTGTGGTCTCGCGCGTATCGAAGCGTACACTGATGGTGCGTGTCTCGCCTTTGGAGGTTGTTGATACAGCTCAGCCATCTGACCATGCTCATCTTCACGGGCCCTTGGCATGTCGATGGCAGTGGGACGAGTCGTCCTGCCAGATGACGGACATTTTCCTTCACCGGTGTCAGCACAGCACCATCTACATCTTGAGCCCTGTGCGGTTGGTTACATCCGGCCTTGTTACCAGATTGTCTTTTGGGCGTTGTGTGTGGTGTGTGTGCGTGGGAAAGGGTGTTTTCAGCTCGACGCGTTGCTGCACCTTTTGCAGCAGGCCTGTCGACGGCCTCATTTTTTTTTGGCTTGTGCGTGGTACGACGGTGCATTGGACAATCTCATCAACTTGTGCTGGCATTCAAACTAGTAATGTCATCATCAACGAGTGTCTGCGGTGCGTGATTGTGATTGGAGCCGCAGCTGGCTTTGTCAACATTCACGGCTCCCATCAATGCGACGTTCACGTGGTGGCCCGTCGTCTGGTGCTTCGGTACGGCTCGCCCCACGCTTCAATATCGGGACTCACTCGTCCGTCGCATGGATCGGTCGGTCGTAGCCTCTCACGCACGCATGCATGGCCTCTGGGGTGGCATTCGATCCGCAAGGTCGTCGGAGGCCTGTCGCTGCTTTGCCAGCGTGAATCTGGCCTCACTTTTACTCGAGGGAAACCACGACATACAATTTGTGCGTTGAGCCATCGATTCCTGGTTCATGTGCCACTTGCGTTGCCCCTATTTCATCCACGTTCTTGCTGCAGGCTCCATTTAACACCTGGTACGGTTCGCACGAAGCGCACATGCAAGCTGCAGCTTTGTTGCCCCACGTCAATCTTTGGGATCGCGTTGTCAACCTCGCACCAAAAGGTCGGTTTTTCCGAAGGCGTTGTCTTGTGCTACCATCGCTGAGTGAACCCCACCAGCGGGATTCCGTGGCCAATCCGGCGCATTTCTAAGTGCTTGTCTTCTTAGGCTTACAAACCGCCGATTACCAATTGCTTGAACCAGCACGCTTTTCCATTTTTCTGGTTCCATTCCTGGTTCCCGGGCCTACTCAGGTTTGTTTGTTTGGGATAAATGTATGATGGCCCAACAGCAGTCAGACTTAACCTTCAGGCACCCACGGCAACCAGGAGACCAGCCGTGCATGAAGTGATTCATGTGTGTGTGCCATGCGCGGTTCTCATTGCTCAGGCCATAGCAACGCAAGTACCGGAGGCTTACGCCCAAGCAATTCAGACCCGCCTTGATCAGGCACAGCAACTGCGAGCGCGGCTGAGCACGGCATGCGCCAGTCATCCAAACAAAGAAGAACTCGTGGACCTATTGCAGGTGGAGTTTATGGTACGCTTTGCCAGCGAGCTCACTTGATATTGCCCCTTCTTGGTGTGCTTTGCTGGAGCATAGACCGAATGACGGGCTGGGCTCATGATGTTTTTTTTTTGTTTTTTTCCCATAATGTCGTTGTTCCTTCTTGTGTTTTCATCTCTGATTTTTTGCTGCTCTTTGGCACAGGATTGGCTGGGTAAATCTACCCGGCAGATAAGGGACTTGTATGCAATTGCTCGCAAGGCAGATCCGGCGCAGCAACGTCGCGAGGAAGCGCCAACCTCGCCCGACGCCTCCTCTGCTGCCTCGCCATAGTATTTTAGGCGGTCAATATTCTACACAACCTTCAATCTGACCCCCAATTTTATCCCTTTGTCTCGAGCGCGCCAGTTGTCAGCATTGCTACCAAGTGTTCAACCTCCGCAGTTGAACTCCATTGCACATGCCCTCAAGCGTAGTGGGGGAGCGTGGTACCTGAATACGGCAGCCAGCCGGCCCGGGGCATCTCGTGTTATTGGCCCTGGCAAAGCATGTAGACAGCTGACTGGTCGCCTATCCAATCGTTGATCAAGTCAAGGGGCACCATACCCGGGTACGCAGCTGCAGTGGCAGTTGTCTCCCCATATCAACTCAACGTCCGCAGCACAGGCTGGACAACAAAAGAGCTACATGTCACCCAAAGGACCAAACACAAAGACTGGGTGGTTTCACTGAGACCTCTCTCTCTCTCTCTCTCTCTCTCTCTCTCTCTCTCTCTCTCTCTCTCTCTCTCTCTCTCTCTCTCTGTCTCTCTTCTTCTCTCTTCATTCTCTCTTCTTCCCTCTGTCTCTCTTCATTCTCTGCCTCTCTGTCTCTCTGTCTCTCTACTTTTCTCTTCCCTCTCTCTTTCTCCTCTCTTCTCTCTTCCTTCAACAGCTAGCTGGACAGCTTACGCGCGAGCGCACGTCTCTCTGGATTCGCTTGTGAATCCATTGGACTTGTTGGTTCTCTGATTCATCACTTGATCGGCTCTCTCAACAATTTCCTGTGCTTGGTGTTCCCAGCTCCTCGCACCGCCCTCTCTCTCTCTCTTGCTCCCGGCTCTCGAGCTGGTCGTGGTACTTGAGAGTGCTCGGGTGGACTTGAGTGCCGTTGGCACAGGCCCGCCCCCCCAGACTCTGATTGGCGGGGCCTCTTTTGAAGGATCAAGGCATTGTGGTGGAGCGTCGCTGCTGATCCATCCTTCCTTGTTCTGCGAGAGTGGCCTGCTGGACTGGACCAGGTGAGACCTGAGCTCGGTCTTGGGTCTTTGTGCATGTCTCTCCTATCAACAGCACCCATCGCAGGGACTTTTTCCTAGCTGTGGCCCCGTCCCTTGTGCCCAGACTTTGCTCATCTTCTGCTTCGGCAACCCTTCTCCTCCACCTTCGCCCCTCCTTGCATCCTCTTGTTGAATTAGTGCCGGCCTTGACTGGAGCAGAACTCGTCGCTCTGAGTGATTGTCTTCACTGACCAGCGCCATGGTGAGAGCTACCGTCCCCGTATCAACTTGCCAGCTCATGCCCACTCTTTGTTCGTCGGGGCTGGCCTGCTCGGCTCGGGCATCCCACCCTCTGATTCAACTCATGGCCCTGCTCCACGGACCGTTGCTCATAGCCACCACACTGGCAAAGCAAGACCAAGGAGGCCAACTCCGGTGTCGAGGACATGGTTCTGATTAGCAAGATCAGCGACGATGCCATTGCCGAAAACTTGCGCAAGCGTCTCATGGACGACCTCATCTACAGTTGGATTGGCCCGGTACTCATCAGCGTCAACCCTTTCAAGCAAATGCCCTACTTTACCGACAAGGAAGTCGACATGTACCAGGGTGCTGCCCTCTACGAGAATCCTCCCCACATCTATGCCTTGACCGATGACTGCTTTCGCAACATGCTTATCGATAGCGAGAATCAATGCGTGATCATCTCAGGTGAATCTGGTGCTGGCAAAACCGTCTGCGCCAAATTCATCATGAACTACATCACCCGCGTTTCCGGCGGTGGCAGCGAGATTCAGCGTGTCAAAAACGTCATTCTGGAATCCAACCCGCTTCTTGAAGCCTTTGGCAATGCCAAAACCATCCGCAACAACAACTCCTCCCGCTTTGGCAAATACATGGAGCTGCAATTTAGCCGAGCCGGTCAACCCGATGGCGGACGCGTATGTTGGCTGCACCCTGCTCTTCGAGCCGCTACTGGCCGCTGCAATTTCACACCTTCGGAAATCGTTGAATGACTGGGCTCCCATTCATACTCAACTGTCCGTGCTTTCCCTCTTGCCTGCCTTCAACTAGATTTCCAACTTTCTGCTGGAAAAGTCGCGCGTGGTACTTCAGGGGCCCAACGAGCGCAACTTTCACATCTTTTACCAGCTCTGCTCCGGTGCGACTGCCGAGCAGCGTGAGCACCTCGGCATCAGCGAGCCGAGCTACTACAGCTACCTCAACCAGGTATCCATGCCCGCCTTCCGCCCCCACCGCTACGCAAGCCCGCTGGCAGGCGCATTGTTCCTGTGGACACCCACTTTTTAATACCAACTCACCCACAACGCTCTGCCCACTCATGACAGAGCGGTTGCGACACAGTGGATGGCATTGACGACACCAAGGAGTTCACCGACACTTGCAACGCCATGCGTGTCATGGGCCTCACCGATGCACAGCAGGTATGGCTGGCAGCTCCTCACACGTGGCCATGCACGCTGCTGTTGCTGCCCTCGCCTCGAAATTCAGGAGGTGCCAGCCGTTTAGGGAACCAAGTTGCTAAATTCACGATTCCCCTCTGCTGGTGTCCATAGTGGGAGGTGCTCAAAGCTGTGGCCACTGTTTTGCATCTGGGCAACATTGCATTTGTTGAAAACGGCAACTACGCACAGGTGCGCCATTTCTGTAGCTCCTTGTGGTCGTGCTTGTCATGAGCCCAGAATGCAACTGACATGTACATTGTGGGCAACAGGTGCAAGATGCGTCTTTCCTCGAATTCCCAGCCTATCTGCTTGGTGTTGAACCGGCTGTTCTCAACGAGAAGCTCACCACCCGCATCATGGAGTCTCGTTGGGGCGGAAAAACCGAGACGACCACCGTCACGCTGACCGTGGAGCAGGCCAACTACACCCGTGACTCCCTGGCCAAGGCCGTCTACTCGCGTCTCTTTGACTTTTTGGTTGCCACCATCAACAAAGCCATGGAGAAGCAGCAAGAGGAACTCAACATTGGCGTCCTTGACATTTATGGCTTTGAGATCTTCGATCAAAACGGCTTTGAGCAGTTTTGCATCAACTTTGTCAATGAGAAGCTGCAACAGATTTTCATCAACCTCACGCTCAAGGCCGAGCAGGAGGAGTACGTCAGTGAAGGTATCACCTGGAAGCCCATCGAATTCTTCAACAACAAGACCGTGTGTGACTTGGTGGAAGGCAAGACACCACCTGGCATCATGTACATTCTCGACGACGTCTGTGCTACTCTGCACGCCCAAACGGATGGCGCCGATTCCAAGCTGTTGGAAAAGCTCATCACGGGTGTCGGAAGCCACCAGCACTTTCAGAGCTTCACCGGCGGCTTCAAAATCATTCATTACGCCGGCGAGGTGTCGTACAACGTTGGAGGTTTCTGCGAGCGTAACCGTGACTTCATCCTACCCGACCTCTTGCACCTGGTCCAGGGAAGCAACAACCCCTTCCTTGTGGGCCTGTTTCCGGATGACCCGAACCCCTTGGACAAGCATGGTCGCAAGCGGAAGCAGGCCACCGCTGGTGGCAAAATCCGCAAGCAAGCCAACGATCTCGTAGATCGCCTCATGAAGTGTCAGCCTCACTACATTCGTTGCATCAAGCCCAATGAGACCAAAAAGCCCCATGATTGGGACAAGCAGCGTTGTCTTCATCAAGGTGCGATCCCAAACATGTTGCCGTATCCAGGTGCCTCAATGTGCGCTGACCTCACCCACCTTTGTCCTGGACCGCATGTTCTGTTCTCTTGACTGACTCTACAGTCCGCTACCTGGGTTTGAAGGAAAATATTCGCGTGCGCCGCGCTGGTTTCGCTTATCGCCGTGAGTTTGAAAAGTTCCTCGAGCGCTATGCCATCTTGACCCCAGAGACCTTTCCGCGCTGGAACGGTGATCCCCGTCAAGGTATGATTGGTCGTGTGTGAGGCAATCCGCACATCCATGGTTTTTTTTTTTTTTTTTTCCTTGACTTTTCTTTCCACTTCCTTGCGCCCTTCCTGTGCTTTATCATTCATTGTTGGTGTGACATCCTGCCACAACTGCAGGTGTACAACACTTGATGGACTTTGTGAGCATGGAGGCTGATCAATGGCAGATGGGCCGAAGCAAGGTCTTTGTCAAGAACCCCGAGTCGCTGTTTTTGCTTGAGGAGCTGCGCGAGCGCAAGTTTGATGGGTCAGTAATTTGTGATTCGATCCTCGGAACAACCCCCTCGAGATGTTTTTGGATGTATCTTTCTTTGTTGGGCGTTGGGCGTTGGGCGTGGAGCGAGATCCAGACCGATGTCCACCCTTTCTCAAGATCTCGGTCAGGTTTTTGGAATATCGCTGCTGTTGCTCATATCCTTGTTGGTTGATGCAGCTTTGCGCGCAAGATCCAAACCTGCTACCGCCGCTGGAAGGCCCAGCAATTTTATGAAGAGCTCAAGAAGAAGGTTCGTCTGGGCTCGGCCGGCTGGAAACAACTCGAGGTCAGGTCCACTTTGCTCACCCCACCATGCAACAATCTGCCTCGGTCTGTGCTGCCCTCCCATAGGCCTCAGACATTTTGTTGAACAAGAAGCAGCGCCGCATGGGCACAATCAACCGCAATTTTGTTGGAGACTACATTGGATACCAAGACAACCCTTCACTGCGTGCGTTGGTCGAGAAAAAGGAGCGCGTTGAGTTTGCTTACACGGTGGTCAAGTACGATCGGCGTTTCCGGCCTCAGAAGCGTGACCTTCTGCTGACCAGCAAGCACATTTACCTCATTGGTCGCGAAAAGCAGAAGAAGGGTCCCAACAAAGGTGAGCTGTCATATTTTCGAGCGCATCTGACCAAGGCATCTATCGCCCTGTACGCCCATGGCTGAGGCGACTGGTCTCACCGGATCGTGCTGTATACAATCACACAGGCGAGTATCTCGAAGTAGTCAAGCGCAAGCTGCCACTGGATCAAATTTCGCGAGTGTCCCTGTCCACCCGTCAGGACGATTTTGTTGTGCTTCATGTGGACGCTGAGTATGACACTCCCGTGGAAATGGTCTTCAAGACCGAGTTCTTGACGCTGCTGGACAAGAAATATCGGGACGTGACCAACCGAACGCTGAGCGTGCAGTTTGCGGACCGAATCGAATTTAAGGTCAAGAAGGAAGGCTTGGGCGGCGGCACCTCGCGCCATCTTGAATGCGAGCGTGGTAGCACGTTTGAGGTCAAGGCGAGCGGCAAGAGTCTGAAGGTGTTTTCGCCCGAAGGCCTACCCAAGGATTCAAGTATGTACCCTGGATCTCTCAACTTGGATTTCGCTTCGTTGCCGCTTGGCATTGGTGATCGATGATCACGATGGCTTGATCGACACGATTCTGATCCATTTCCAAGTCAAGCATGCGCTTTCTCACGGTTCTTTGATGTGTGTGTGTACGTGTGTGTGTGTGTGTCCTCAACAGCACCTGGCAGTCATAACTTTTCAGGTGCCAACGTCAAGGCGTACTCGTCGCCTACACGCGCTGCTCCTGCCCAGCGCGCTGCCCCGTCCCAGCGTGCCACCTCAGCTGCACCCAAGGCCACCCGAGCTGCCCCGCCTCCGGTGCGCCGCAAACCACCTCCGGCCCCCAAGCCGAGCCTGCCGCAGGCTCGCGTTTTGTACGACTATGAAGCTCAGGTGCGTCGGCTGCCGCTCCCGCATTATTTCTACCATTTCTACCAAGGCTGCTTTAACTCAGTCGACCTCACCCCGGGCATTTCATGTACCCATAGGATGCGGATGAGCTGCACATTCGCTATGGCGATATTGTATCAATCGTGAAGAAGGATCCCTCAGGCTGGTGGCAAGCCAAGCTGAAGGGCCGTGAAGGCCTAATCCCCGCCAACTATGTTGAGGAGATTGGTGCCTCGACCACGGCATAAAGAACCGACTTATCTTTCATGACGGAATTTGAATGCTGGGTCTTCCAGTTACCAATATCCGGCTGTCCCTAACCACCGAAACAATTGATCCTCGGACCGTGTGGGTTGAGATCACACGCCAACATGAAAAAGGGATCAGAGGAGGCGCTCTGGGAGGCCTGTTTGTTTACATCTGATTTCTGGATTGATGTTCGGTCCGTAGCGCTCAGCGCCACGCAGCAGTCAAGACGCCCACTTGATGGCAAGTCAGGTGGTCTCCAGGGCTCGCCGACAGGCATACGATGAAAACAGAAGCCAAACCCAGGTGACAAGGCGGTTGCGGGCCCCGGGAACAACGGCTTGCAACGCCAGCCCCAAGGGCTGAAGTGCAAAGAAGAGAAACATCAGCGAGATGCGATGGGCCGGTGCGCGCAACACAATGAGTGGATATACGTGCAGAATAGCACTAGTCACAAAGGTGGCAGCCATGGCGGCTGGCTGGGGCATCCCCCAACGACGAAGTGGGGCAAAACAGCAGCGGCGCAGCTGGCCGTGAACGGCTGTATTCCAGCGTCGCCAAAATTCAGCGACAGATTGAGCGGCCAAAGGGTTTGCTGCAAACATGCTCGGAAGCATGACAGGGCCCAGCATGATTCCAAGAAACCGATAAAGCAGGTCGATGAAGACGAGACCCGTGGCCAAGGCCATGGCATGCAGGCCGTGACCGACCACATCACACACACGGCCCGCCAATGGTCCTGCCATGATGGTGATTGTGCCGGTGGTGGGAACATAAAGAGACAGAACAGTGACCAGGCCGTGAAGTGCCAGCATAAACCGTGCCTCATAAATCATGGTGCCAAAAGCTCGTCGGCGTGAGGCCACCGAAGTAGCGTCGCAAAGATCAGGGAACGATTGGATGTAGCCAATGTGGAAGCGCAAAGATCGCCCATGCACGCGTCGAGGCACGAGGTAAGCCTCAAGTAGACGCAGAGAATGCACAAACGAAGCCAGGCTATACACGACGCGCAAGAGGGGATGTTGGAAAAGTGTGACCACCCAGGCTGCGAGGAGCGCGGGCACGGCAGCACGCATTGGGCCCTAAACAGGAACGAGCGCGGGCACTGGTGAGGCTGGGCACAGATAGCACGCGTACAGCTGGGATGCAATCTAAACTTCAAACCTCGGCTGGACCGAGTTGCATCGCACGCCACCGTGGACCCACCTGATAATAGAGAAGGATGCCACATCCGATGAACAGGCTGTACCAAAGGGCAAGCCGACTCCCGTCCGCGGCCGAGAGCGGCGGAATAGAGTCCAGTGCCTCCATGCCGCTCGTCGACTTGACTTTGATCTCAAAACATATGAAAAAAATTAAAAAAAAAAAAATTGAAATTGAAAACTGTTTGTGAAGTTGTTTTTTTGTGATGCTCTGGATGGATCGTGCAGGTTCATTCGGATCACGCTTGCTTGACGCGTTGACTCAGCTGGTTTTGCTTTGTTTTGCCCCACCTTTCGTGTTTTTGTGAATCGAGGCTTTGAATGGGTTGCATCCGGATTGCGTTTGATGCGCCAAAACGCAGCAGGGCACGATGAATTTTGATAACTGGTGGCGCGAGATCCAAACTTTGAGTTGAGAGCAACTCTTGGGTTGTTATTGTTCAAAGCTATGATCCAGACCGTAGCGGCACAGCCGAGCAACGAGGCCAGAAAGCTGCATGAAAGAGTCCAACCCCTCAAGGATGCGCAAGTGACTGCGGCCAATCTCCTGTTTTGTGCGGGTCGCATTTTCAAGCGTGAGGGATGAGCGCTTTGAACAAAGGCAGTTTCTTTTTAATGTCGATGGACGGCTCCACACTAAGAAGGAATTTGCGTCAAAGAGTGCAAGCGAGGCCCGTACCTTGATGTATTCCAGTTTGATGCCTTCTGGCATTTCATAAGACTTGGTTACACGGAAAATGACGTTGATAATGTCAATGGCCGCATATCCCAGCCGCCAGAGCTCGGCAAGACCTACAGACACAAACCGCCCAGGCAGGAGCGTGGGATCGGTGTGAGCACGGGCATTCGTGAAAGAGCATACTGCGGACTAGCGCCCATGAGGCGCTTTTGTACGGTGTTCGGGGGAGCAAGGCCGCGGAGACAAACCGTCATAGGCGACGTCGATGGAGCCCTCGAGGCAAGCCTTGACTACGTTCTTGACCAAGAGAGGGTGGGGTTGGTCGCAGACCTTGAAAACCTTATCAGCAGATATCTCGCCGAAACTCTGATGGGTGGATTGCAGATTGTTGATGGCCTGGCGCATGTCGCCTTCTGCGGTGAAGATCAGAGCTTCCAAGCCGGAGTCGAGCTGAACAATCTGTACTCGAGTCGAAATACATGTGAGCAAGGCTGATGAGCCAGAAGTGATGCCAACCAGCATCGACGGGAACACAAGGCGGTTCTAACCTTTTCCGCTTGGCAAACGTCAATAAGACGCTTCAAGACCTGAGCGTCGGTCAAGCGTGTGTATCGGAGAATGGTACACCGACTCTGAATCGGATCAATGATTTTCTCTGGCACACCCAGCATGCTGTGAGGACTCTGCGGACTTTGGAGTTGCTTGTGCAGGCAGCAAAACGGAGACCAAAGCGTGTACCTGAGGTGTTGCAGGCGAGCGCGAAGCGAGTTGTGTTGGAATAAAGCTCAATGGTACGACGCAGGGCTTGTTGCGCCGTGGGTGTCATGCTGTCCACCTCGTCCAAAATGACAATTTTATGACGGCCTGGAGGGAGAGATACCTTTTTCTTGGCAAACATTTTAATCTTGTTGCGCACGACATCAATGCCACTGCAGAAAAAGAAGAAAAAAAAAAAAAAAAAAAAGAACAAGGAGAAATGGGGCGGCGCGCACACACGATGAGGCGCGGCAGTGCGGTGTGCAAGCAGCGTAGAGCGTAGCATCTGGCTGGTTGTGCAGAGAGCGAACGGGCAAGGGTGCGTCCTGGTTGAAGGTGGGCCAAATGTACGTACCGATCATCTGAAGCATTGGTTTCCATCACAGCTTCTTTGTAGGATTTGCCGAGCAGCGTTCGGGCCAGGCACAGGATGCTGGTCGTCTTGCCGATTCCGGGTGGGCCCTAGCCGCGGCGGCGTTGGGGTGACAATATAAGTATGTCAGGCTCCACAGCGTGTGGTCATTTTTGTCAAAAAGCTGAGGCTCGTTGCGCGCGATCAACTCACAGCAATGATAATGTTTGGCATGTTACCATCCTTGGCAATCACCTAGGACAGAACCCGGCAAGAGACAGGGAGTCATTTGATATGAAAAGAATTCGCTCTGGATTAGTAAGGAAGAAGGCTGACAGGCCCACCTTGAGACGGCTGACCGTGGCCTCGTTGCCAACAATGTCATCCAGCACTTGGGGGCGATACTTTTCCACCCTATGCACAATGGGAACGGTAGCAGTACCCACAGGCCAAAGGCGTGAGTTGGGGAAAGACCTGTGTCACTGTTGACTGTTGATCTCGGCTGAGGCGAGCAGGCAAGCAGGTCAGACCAGGGTAGCTCAAAGCTGCGTTCCTTGGCCGCGGCGACAGGGACGGCAACATCGGCCTCGGTATCCATTTTGCATGTGCCCCAAAAGACGAGTTCCGGAATTGAAGGAAAGCTTTCAAGTTGACGTGCGCGCAAACATGCGCGACAGCGGCGTCGCTTGCCGAGAACTCAGACCGGGTCGTGCCAGATACTTCCGATGAGTGCAGTGATAACGCCTGCCTCTCCTGCTCAGGTGGCCACGCTTTGCACCCGTGTTATACCAATGAACTGCCAAGTCAAGTAGTTGTGCGTAACAACCGCAAGCCGGTGAGCCGAGCAAGAACGTGATGTCCCGCTGCCCCCAAAAAAATGATCAAGCAGAGAGAGAGAGAAGGAGAGAGAGACAGAGACAGAGAGACAGAGAGACCACACACACACACACACACACACACACACACACACACACACACACACACACACACACACACACACACACACACACACACACACACACACATCGCAAGTAACGGTCATCACCCTCTAAAGCGGTTTCTTTCATTTTAAAGGGGTGTCTGACTTTCAATTGGTAGTGCATTTGTCCGGCGCCATTTTTCTCTCTCGCTCTCTCTCTCTCTCTCTCACTGTGGAGTTGCTTCGCTTGCAATCGTGGAACGGGGCGCGTGAGTTGAGTGCGTGTGTGTGTGTGTGTGAGAGATCGAGGACACTGATCAAGGTTGGTCTCGTGTGAGGTCGGGTCACTGGTTCTGGGGCCTCAAACGCTTTGATCAATGGGCCTTTGGCCACTCGCGATCTGACTGGGCTGCTTGTTCTGCCCAGGATGAAGTGCATTATTTTGGTGGCTGGTCATGCCACCCGTCTGGAGCGTGAGCTCTGTGAGCAAGGCGGCACGGTGAGGCGTCTCGATCTCACCCTTGTTATGTTCAAATCCAACCCCATACAGCACAGCGAGCTTGCACAGAACACATGATCTATAGCCCGTCGGCCTCACATCGATCTGACCGCTGGACTGCCTGGTGAATGACCATCATACTTTTCAGGAGTTTCGTCACCTGCGCAATATCCCCAAAGCTTTGCTGCCGGGCCCCGACGGCCAGGCACTGCTCGACCAGTGGTGGAAGGCAGTCTCGTCCGCCCGACAGCACTTTAGCGACGTCTTTCTCGTGACGGTGCGTAGCATGTCCCTTTGCATTTTTTCACGGCTGGGCTGCGAAACACGCGTGGCGATAAATGCCCACACGCCAAAAAGACTCGTGTCATAACGTTTTGAGCCTTGTCGCGCTTGATCGGGCCCATTGTGGATAGAACGCGGCCAAGTACAAAAATTATGAGCGCTGGGCCACTGCCCGAGGCTTTCCACGTCAGAACATCATTAACGATGGCACCACCAGCGGCACCGGTAAAGAAGCTGCTTCACTTGCAGTTCTGGTGTCTCTTCCCCGCGATGACCTAGGAACAGTCTGCTCCGTTGCCCCTGCGCTTGTACCGCCATTTCATATGACATTGGCCCTGGTGTAGGTGGAATCGGGGCAGTGGCAGACCTGCGGCTAGCACTGCGATCCAAACGCATTGACGAAGACATTATGGTCGTCTCCGGCGACATGCTCTTTCACCCTGAATCCTTTGATTTAGACGGCGTGATTGAGTTCTTCAAGCGCAACGAAGGTGATCTGGCCTGCTACTACCAACTTGGGCCTGACGAAGACCCCTCCACGCGCGGTGTCCTCGAAGTGGACAACCAACATCGCGTCACCAAGTTTGTGGAGAAGCCCACCCGAGCAGAGGACCGAGCCTCGAGATTAGCCAGCGTGGTCTTTTATTGCTTCCGCCAAGCAAGCTTGCAGAACTTTGAGTGCTTTCTCAAGGAGGTCGAAGGAAAGCACTCTTTTGGCGACTTTATGGCCTGGCATACCGCTCGTGTAAGGACGTCGGCAGTCGCATGTTTGCTGCAAACACGCCCTACCGTGACCCTCTCATTCCTGCCCCCACCCTTCTTTCCCCTTCTGCCCCTTCTGCCCCTTCTGCCCCCTACCTGCTTCGTGTACACCGCTGTATCATAGGAGCCCGTTTATGGCATGAAGTTGCCGGATCACTTTGACCTCATTGGCGAGGTGGGGCTCGAGGAGTATCGCCGCTGCCTGGTCCAAAAGCGCGCTTCCTTTGACACGCCCGTCCAGGAAGCCACAACTTGCCGAGCCCATGCTCGAGTAGGCTTGATGGGCAATCCCAGCGATGGCTTCAACGGCAAAACCATCAGTCTGTCCATTGCAAACTACTGGGCTGAGGCCACTATCGAGCCCTCGGCGCGCTTGGTACTAGAGCCACACCCTCTGAACGACCCCAACGAGTTTGGCGGCTTGGCTGACCTCTACACCATCAGTCGCCGCGAAGGGTACCAAGGTGTGTACGCTAACCGGCCTGCTGAGGGGCTGTTCTTGTATTGCGTTCCCTGACTGCTTGCCATCCTGTCAGGCGGACTACGCCTCATGCAGGCAACCTGCAAGCGCTTTTTTGAGTATTGCCGAGACCAAGGTATTGCGATTGCGCGTCGCAACTTTCGGCTGCGCTATGACACCAACATCCCACGCCAAGTAAGCGACAGCATGCTGGCACCAAATTTGATGAACTTCCAGCCGCTTCACGACGCTCAACTGGCCCATATCCGTGTGGTTGTAGGTGGGCCTGGCCGGATCCTCTGCCATTTGCACGTCCATCCTTCAGTGCTTGATGGCCTTTTACCACGTCACCGAGGCAGACATCCCCCGCCCAATTCAGGTTGTCAACCCTGTCCGAGTGATCCACTTGACGTTTTTATCCAAATTCAAGATATTCGAAAGGCATTTCTTCTCCGGCAACTGACATGATTGCCCGTCAACTTGGAATTTGTCATAGCCGAGTTTTGTTCTCAGTGTTGAGACCGGCGAACTGGGCATCAATGCTGGTTTGCAAGACCGCGTCATTCAGGTTTGCTCGATACCGCATGCACTCACGATCTTGACCATTTGTCAGGGGGGAATGGCCGTACCACATGCTAACCATGCCCTCTTTCCGCCTCTTGACTCTCACTCCTCTATTGTGCGGGCACTCTAGGCATACAATGGATGTGTGTACATGGACTTTGGAGCAGAGATCATGAAGCGTGGGCATGGCATCTATGAGTACCTGGACACGAGCAAGGTTAGTTGGCCACGCTTGTTCAAGAATGCAGACCTGCCTCGCAGCCAAGTTGGGCAGGATCGTATCGATAAATGCCGTTGCCACGCATTTATTTTGCTTCGCTTCGAATTGGCTCGCCCTAGCTGCCCCAGTTTTGGCTAGGATATCTTGCTGATCCCTCGGATTCAGGCAAGATTCACTCGGATGTGCGTCAGCGCTATGATGCTGGCGAAACTGCTGCCGTGGAGTAAGTACTGTAGCCACCTTTGGCCCTTGTCCACCACCCTCTCACCGCATCGCGTCGTTGAAATAATTTGTGCCCATCGTCAAATTGACGTACTGTGGTGGATTACATCCTGCTGCAGAGGTATGAAGCGCTTTGCATCATTTGCGGAGGAAGCCAAGCAGGCCATTGAAGAAGGCGACCACGGTCGCTTGGCCGACCTGATGGATGCCAATTTCAGGTTTGTTATCGCAAATCGCAAAGGCATTGGTGGGGGAGGTCTTTTTTTTTTTTTTTTTTTTTTGTTTGTTTGTTTGTTTGTTTGTTTGTTTTTCAATTGTGCCGACGTGCGCTGTTGTATTACAACTTGGCATCATTTTCCGGTGTTTTGGTGCATTTTGCTTTGCTTGACTTGGATTGCAGCTTGCGACGTGAGATTTATGGCGATGCGTGCCTGGGCGAGGCCAACCTGCGCATGGTGTCGATTGCCAAGAGCTTCAACTCGGTGGGCTTCCATTGCGGGCTGTGTTGACCAGAAGCGTAGCAAGCGTTCTTTCTCATGCCAGCGTAAACCCTGTGCGTAGGCCGTCAAGTTTCCGGGCTCGGGCGGTGCAGTGGTTGGCCTGTGCCGGGATGCCAGTCGCTTGCAGGATCTGCGTGAGGCGTTTGAAGCCGAAGGCTTTGTGTTTGTCATCCTAAAAGCCAACGAGGCTCGTGCGTAAGCTTCAAGTGACTCCTGGTGCCTGCCACCTACTCCCGTTGGAGAACTGGTAGAGCCACCACGGCAGAGTTGGGCATAGTGCTGAGTGAAGCGGAACTCATCCATCAATCGATTTGAAGAGCTAAAACGGGCTGTTCCGGCGCCTATTGCACTGGCAACAAGTGTTTATGCACATCACTCGAGGCTCTCCGGGCCCTCATGAAATTCGTCATCCGACCAGTGTTCGCCAGTTGCAGCTCGAGCAGGCTCGCGCAAGCCCTCGCTGGCAGCCGACTCAACCGCGCGGCGGGCTGCTTGAAAGTCGGCCATACGCAACGCAGGTAGCTTCTGCAAGGGCGTCGTCTGAAGGCACACCACCATGAGTATGGCATGACAAGGGCAGGTAGAGCCTCAGAGCAAAAGTAAAGCAAAAGAAGGCGTGCAAGCGTAAGCGTACCGTGCGCGACTGTGCAGCCTGCAGGGCATGAGTGGCAGCAAGGCGACAAAGCTCGCGGAGGTCATTGCCCGAGTAGCCGCCGGTCTCTGCGCCCAGTCGACGAAGGTCCAGATCGCGGTGCTGCAACTCGTCGCGCAGAATGACTTGCAGGATCTGGTGGCGCTGACGCTCATCCTGGGCAATGATGCACAGACAAGCCGGTGGTGAGAGGAGGCAAACACCGCGATAAACTGGGTGTCCCAATGAACTGGAAGCGCCTCGATCGAGCACTCGCAACGTACTGGGTGGCCGATGTGGCAAGTACGAGATAGCCGACGCAAGATGGCACGGTCCACATCTGTAGGTCGGTTGGTGGCGCCCACCACCACCACTTGGGCGGTTGGGTCTTGTACAAAGCCATCCCACAAGGTCATAAACTGGGCTTTGATCACAGCAGATGACTCGTGGTCCATGCTGCTGCGGGAGTTGAGGAAGGAATCAATCTCATCGATAAAGATAATGGTTGGAGCCAGCTTGCGGGCCAAGGAGAACACGGCCTCCACCTGTTGACACGTTGAGTAAGCAGGGCCATGTTAGCAACAGTTGGCCCTACACAGACCCATGGGGATGGTGGTGCTTGAGTGGTCGGGCGGAGTAGTACCAGCTTGGTGCTCTCGCCGTAGTACTTGTCCATAAAAGAGGAGGGGCGGAGGTTGATGAAGCAGCAATCGCATTCCTTGGCTAAGGCACGCGCCAGCATCGTCTTGCCACAGCCGGGAGGTCCAAACAAAAGCAAGCCCTTTGGAGGCTTGAGCAGCTTGGAGGCCCCGTAGACACTACTGGGTGAAAGCGCAAGGACGACCTAGTTCCAAGTTGACCCAGTACCAACGTTATTGAGAATGTGATTAGCAGCGGCCCTGACGCGGCGATAAGGAGCAGCATGGTGTACCTCATTACGAAGAATGTCGATGGTTTGCTGCAGGCCGCCAACAGCAGAAAAGTCTTCGTCAATATCTTCTGGATCAATGATATCGCTTGCCATGAGTGCCTCGTGTTCCGAAAGTTTGACATCTAGGTGCGTTTTCCCCCCACGTGCCAACATGGGCAAGCACAGCAGCGGTGAACCGAGTGCGTTGGGTGTTCAGCTGGGACCAGGATTCCAGGTACTGCAGTCTTTAGGAAGGGTGAAAGACATGAAGAGAGCACGCTCCTACTTTTGCGCTTCAAGCGATTCAAAATCGTGCGGCCCTAGCAAGACAGCACAGCAAAGCCGACGCAAACGGTGCATGAGGCGCAAGGCTGTTGCTGGGCTATTGCTGGTCGGGGGTTTAGGGGGGGGGGGGGGGGGGGGG